AAAAATCCCAGAATTATATATACACACACATAAAGCAAAAGTGGCAAAATGTTAAAATTACCGAATTGAAATGAAAGATACAAGCATGCTCACTGTACTAATCTTTCAACTTCTCTGTATGTTTGAAAAACTAAAAAATGGGGGAGGGGAAGACTGGATAAATTAATGGGCACAGTAATTAAAAGAAACTAATTAGAGGTACTCAACATGAATAAATCTCAAAAACACATCCAACAAAGACATCCATGTGATATCCATGATGTGACGCCATTTAGCTGAAATACAAAACCACAAGAAACAATTCCATATGTTGCTTCTAGACACCAGTTTCTGCAACAATAATAAACACATACACAGAGCGAAAATGAAACAGAATGACTGCTTGAGCCCCTTCCTTGATGGGGGAGGTCCAGGAGGGTTCAGAAGGAAGTGAGGGACACTGCCGTCATGGCCACCCAGGTGGGCTCACCTGTCTCCCACTGACCCTGCTGAGCATTTGAAGAACTACTTGACTGCCGACGGCGACGGCAGCTACCCTCTGTCCTCTTTGAAGAAGAGCTGGAGGTACCATAATTGTAGCGTTCTGGAGACACTGTTGGAGAAAAGAAAAGAAAAAAGTATTCACAGCCTCCAGTTCCTCCCAGGCCCAGCTGCAAATTCCTATCCCAAGGTGAATGCCTGCCCCACAGGGAGCCTGAGTCCCCCAGAGGTCAGAGCCCAGATACCCACCCCTCTCAAACACCTCCTTGTGTGAAGCCTCCAGTGATAGAGGCCTCCCAACCCATGTCAACAGCAGCTCCAACTGCCAGGGTTATTCTGTAAGCTGAGTCATGGTCAGGATCCCTGCAATGTTGTTCCCCATCAATTGCCCCCAGCTCTCCCTGAGGCCCCAAGGAGAAAGCAGGCCTCTGGGCAGGCTCCCCAAATCTCTTCCAGAGCCTGACCCTCAGACATTTTTTTCCAAAACTGCTGTCAGTTCTTCTCTCATGCTGTCCTTCTCCTGGTTATCCGAATCTCATGGGCTTACTCTGGGCAGGAGAAGTTCACAATCCCCCATCCCAAACTAGCCACTGCACCTCTAGTAACCCAGCCAAGGGCTCAACAGCTCGAGGCCTATGCACACACAGGGCTCCTGTGCCTTAAACCCTCCCAGCTCCTGACCTGCTCAGAACTACTATCCTCCAGGAAACCTTCTCTCACAAAGATTAAGGGCATCAACTCCAGAGACAAACCAGCCAGATATGAATCCTGGCTCCCACATTTTCTAGCTGTGTTATCCATAAGCCCCTGTATGATGCGGCTTCTCACCTACCTCTCTGTCCTTATTTAGGTCCCCCTCTGCTCCTGCCACATTGGCCCCTGATGACGCCAAACTCAATCCTGCCTCAGGGTTTGAAAGCTTGTCTTTCCCTCTGCCTGGAATTTTCTCCTGAGATCTACGCACAGCAGCAGTGCAGCCTCAGTTCAAATGTCACCTTCTCAGAAAGATCTTAAGTGGTCACCTAATCTAAAGAGACCTCCTTTCACTTTGAAGCACCCCTTACTCTATTAGTTTTACTCTTTCTATTATCTGTCTTAATGTCTGATTCTCCCACTAAATGTCAGCTTCATGGGAGAAGAAACACTTTGCCAGTCCCATCACCTTGTATTGCCTCTGCCCAGCACATAGGATCCAGTTCTTAAATGTAGGCAAGCTGCTTAACTTCTCTGAACCTGTTGTTTTCCCTGTTCAGTGGGGACACTAACAAGACTTCCTCATGGGATTACCAGGAAGACATAAAGTGATGGCTCGTACGAAGGGCTTACACTTTGCCTGGCATGAAATAAGCCCTCCATAAACGGTGGCCACAAACATCATGACTGATGTGGCCAAATTTCCCAAGTTCACCCCTCCCAAAGCCATGCCCCCTCCCTCTTGTATCCTTCATTGATACTCCAGGAGGGTGGAGTGGGACGGGACATAGGCTTCCTGATATGGCGCTATCCATATCAAGGCATCACGGGGGACCAGCGAGAACAAGGCCCTCTCCCTACCGAAGTCTGTCATCCTCCCATTCAACCATACCTGGCCGACGCCGATTACGCGCCAGGTGCGGCAGCAAGTCGTGGCGGGCCAGCACGCGCAGCAGTTGCCCCAGCAGCCGCAGGTTGCTCTCGTCGCATTGCCCGCGGCGTTCTAGTTCCAGGAGCAGCTCCAAGCCGCTGCGGGCGCGGGCCAGGCCACCAGCGGCGCCGGGAGCTTCGTCCAGCAGGAAGGCCAGCAGCTCCAGCTCGCACTCGGTCAGCTGCCCGCCCACCACTTCAAACATACGGTGAAGGGACAGCATCCCGTAGTAGTCCAGGCACTCATCCTCCTCCCAGCTCGAGGCCGGGGTCGACCCAGACAGCGCCATACCCGGGGGAGGGGGCAGAACAAGTTCAAAACCAGGGCCTAGAACCTAGACAGCGAGGAGGGGGCAGTGGTCAGGGAGGCGGACGCCCGGACCCCAACCCCGCCTGTGCGTGTACCCTGCTTCGTCCCGCCGGGCACGGCCACCCTCACACCCCCGCCGCCTCAGCCTCCCCCTGCCCCGGAAGGGAATGGTATCACCCCAGGTCCCCTAGTAACAGGTCGAGACGCCAGACCCCGCTCCTCCTCAAAACAGTCGGGCGGCCGAGCCCGAACGCCCCTCCCCAGGTGGTATGTTCCGAACCAGCCTCCGAACCCAACCAAGCGATTCGGTCCAACCGAGCCAGGAGGCCCACCCAGGAGCACCCTGCCGACTGCCCTTTGAGTCGGGGTAGTATTGTCCGGACGTGCCCCTTCGCTCCAGCCAGTGGTACCGTCCTATCAGTCCCACGGCTCCATCCAAGTGGTACCGTCCGAAAGTGACCCTGTGCCCCTGCAAGTGGGAGCGACCACAGCAGCCCTTCGCTCCACGCAGGTGGTACTGCCCGAACCGAGCCCCGCGCCCTGGAAGGGCGGTACCGCCCTCTCCCCAGAACCCAGGTGGTTCTGTCTACCCGCTACCGGCCGCCTTTAGCGCTCTCGGGATCCTCACCGGATTCCGGCGTCCGATGACTCCTGGGCGACGGCCGCAGCCACTTGTTTTGGATCTTTCTGGCACCTTCTCTATTATTACGCCTGCGTCACCTCGCCCCTCCTCCTTCCCCCAACTCACGCAGGTGCGACCGCCACGCCCCTTAGGCGCAAGCGCAGAGTGAGGCTTCTAAGCCCCGCCCCCAGGCCCGCCCCCAACCGTAGCGTCCGGACCGGCCCGTGCTGCGCCTGCGCAGAGCGAGAGTGGTGCCGTGTCTGGACTGGATCTGGTATCTGCTGAGTGACAGGGTTGCTTCTGCCCGCCCATGACTTAAGCCACCGGGTTATTGTTGCCCCACGTCACGACCTATTGGAATTACTCGTCTCATGGAATACAACCCCCTCCTAATCACGACCGAGACACCCACATTACCACTGCCCCCAGCTGTCCAGGGCAAGGGACCACAGTCACGACTGTCTTGGCTTCGAGTTGCGCCCAGGCCCCTTATGATCGACACTTGGACCCATTAGACTGCCCCTTACTCCTAATGGCAACCAGGAACCTACATCCCAACTGTGCCATCCATCTCATGATCCCGATTAGAATACCCCCTCATCCAACAGAAACCCACCATCTTTAAGTTCCTTCCCCTGATCAAGACCAGGACTCTCCCATCTTATGTTAGAACTAATACCTCCTTCCTGACTGCAAAAGGCCCCTCCATCCCTGACTGTGCTTTTCCTGATGGCGTCCATCACAACCCTCCCATTACAGTCAGACACCCCCTAACCAGAATCTTGAACAGCGCCACCATAACCCTTCCAATCTCTGCCCTCCAAGGTCACAGGGCCTCCCAATACCCCTTGTCTAACCTGCACCTACCAGTTTTACTCTGGCGCTTCGCTGTAGATGTTGATTGTCTGAGCGTCCCCCTCCCCCCACCAGCCGTGAGGCCTTGGGCGTGGCGGCTACCCTGCCCCCCACTTAGGTGACTCAAGATCACGGCCTGCACACCTGCCTTGAGATAGGTCCCCTCCCTGGACTTGTTCCCACCCCCGGAATTATCACCCCTTGGTGGAGGCGGGAGACCTGGGTCCCGCCTGGCACTGGCTCAGCACTGGCTCTGCTTGGACGGCAGCAGTGACCTCAGAAGAGGGCCTTCCTCTCTCTGATGGCAATTGTCACCGACTGAAGCCAGTCCTGGACTGGACACACAGTAGGAGCCCAATAAACGAATATCGTTAAATCAACCGAAGAGTGGGAGGGAAGGGAAAGCACTTTCTACAAACTATGAAGGACTATGTCAATGTTAGATGGGTTATAGTGAGCACTCACGGTGTATTAGGCCCTGTGCTGAGGACTTTTACGTGTTTGATTTGATCCAATCCCCTCAGCAGCCTTTGAGGTGGATGTGATTAAGCCCATTTGACACGGGAATAAAAGTGAGGCACGGAGAGGGGAAGTATCTCAAGTGCGTCTGGCTTCATAGCCTTTCGGAAGGTTCTCGGAAATGCTTATCTCTTCAGCTATGAAACGCACCTCTGTCAAGGTCTCCCGCAGCCCAGTCCACTCCTTAGGCCCTCCTCGCTTTCTAACGATGCCCACTAGTCTTCACTTGGAGATTTTTGGTGTAGGAGTGGCCCGGGAGAACTGCGCAGGCGCTTCTCGGAGCCCGGAGCCCCGCCCACAGGGCACAGTTGTGTGCGTGGAGAAACTCGCGGAGCCCCGCCTGAGCGCCAACACGCAGGCGCAAGGGCGCGTGCGCTCCGCTCTAGGTTCTGATTGGCCGTCACTGTAAGGGCGCCGCCCAATGGGAGGCGTGGATAGTGAGGGGTCCCGCACGCCTGGAGGAGAGGGTCTGTGTCAAGAGCGGCGGGGGCTGCAGGAGGCAAGAGAGACGGGTGAGGGCGCCGCGGGGCGGGCCGGGGAAGAGAGCGCTGGGCTTACGGAGAGGGCGCAGGGAGAACGAAGGGGACACTGTGGGTCGAAGAGCTTTGGGGCCTTCGCTAGGGCGGGAGCGGCGCGGAGTGGAAGGAGAGCGCTCCTTCCTGTGTGCCCTGGAGCATTGATTGAGCTCACGCAGTGTGCAGGACCCTACCCTTGAGGTCACCGGGCCCCTGCCCCTTGCGAGGAGCTCTCAGGCTGCGGCGTTGATAACTCTGGTCGGAGAAATGGGATGTGTAGCGGGAAGGTTGACCCTAGTGTGTTCTTTCTTGGAAGGACTTACTGATCTCCTGTATGAAAAGCCCCCATCCCTCCCCCCAGTGATTCACAATCCAGGATTGGGAAGCGGGGAATGTAGGTGAGGAAAGTACAAATTTTAGGTCTCTCAGGCTACCTTCTAAAAGGACATGTACTGGGTGCCTACTTGGTGTAAACCTTACACCAGGCACTGGGCCTCACCCCAGGGGAGTTCTCTGGAGTGGGACTGTAAACAAGGAAAAACTGAGCGCTCAGGCCCCTGGTTGACTACTTCTAGGAAGATCGTTTCTTGAATGTCTGATGGGTACAGGACCCTGGCAACTCAAAAGTTAGTGAGAAAGTTGGAATAGGTAATTAAGGAAAGTTTAGCTCTTGCGCTTTTAGTGAATCATTTATTTAAGGAGCATTTATTGGACACCAGCTGAAAACAGGGCCCTGTGCTGGGCTGTGTTATTGTGGGGATTCACAGTCTAATAGGAGAGTTGGTCTGTTGGGAGAAGTGGAATGTGCACAGGGACAGTTAAACTCTCAGGGCCTCATTTCCTGGAGGGAGCATTATTCATTCACTGAATATCTACTGAGTGCCTATTGTGTGTTAAGCATTGTTTTTGGCAATGGAAATACATCAGTGATGAGCAGACTAAAATCCCTGCCCTCTGGGAGCTTAATATGAGCAACTTTTGTGTGCCAGGCTTTAAGCTGAACTCCACCTGCCCTCTGGCACTGAGATGGAGACGGTGGGGGTTGCATTCACAAAATTACCTCCTAGGCCTGTGAGGGGCAGTCATTTGCTGAGGGGACTTTGAGCCCCTGCTGTGTGAAGGGGCCTGGGTTGGGTTGAGCCCACACATGTAGAAGGGGAAATAGGGCACATAGAGGGAAGTTCAAAAGTTAAAACCCCTGCCTCTGGTTGGTGATTTTGTGGATGACCCTGCAATGAATCAGAGCCGCCCCTGCCTGCGAATTCAGTCCAGAGAGGAACAGAGACTCTGTCCCAAGTTCATGATATTTGCTATGGTAGAGGTGGCACAGGATACTATAGAAACCCTGAGGAGGAGGGAGTGGCCGCCACCCTGAGGATGTAGACTTGTTGTCACAAAGGAAATGCTGGATAGGAGTTTGCTAGAGAAGAAGAGGAGAGAGCTTTCTTGGCTGAAGGAATAGCGACATCAAAAACTCAGGGTCCAAAACAGCATTTCTGAAGAACTACAAGTAATGGTTTTGTCTAACCTTTATCGAGTACCAGAGATGGACTTTGTGGTCAGTACTTCTTTTAGCCCCATTTCACAAGTGAGAAAACAGTCTCCGACAAAGTGGTAGAGCTTATATTCAAGCCAAGGGCAGTCTGATCGCAGGGCCTGTTCTCTTAGACACTTTGCTTTGCTGCATCTCTATGTGTACATGTAGAAGGAGAAAAGGTGCCTTGCAGAGAGGAAACTGCACAGGCAAAGGCCAAGAGGCCCAAAAAGACCTGTGTTCTTGGAAAGGGTGTGACTGGTCCTCTGGGTAAAGAGGGCAGCGTGAGAGGCCACACTGAGGAGGGCTGTCTCTCTCCTGCAGATGCCTGGCCACCATGGGGCACATGTCAGCTTCTGAGTCTCAGACTCATTGAAGACTGAGGCATAAACATTGGATCCAGACTCCTTGATTCATAGAGGCTGGTGAGTGACAGGATGGGCAGGGGAACTCCTGAGACATCCCTCCTCCCCTTGGGTTCCTGGTGTCTCACCAGCTCCCTCTTCTTTCTCCAGGCACTGCCTTCCCCACAATGGCAGAGGTGGTAGCTGAGGTGGCTGAGATACCAACACAGATGTCGCCAGGGGCAATGGAGATGTCAACACCAGTGTTAGGGGAGATCACAGAGATGTCAACAGAGGTGACTGAGATGACACCTGGGGAAGCCCTTGCCTCATCCCTCTTCTTCCAGCACCACCAGTTCATGTGTTCTGAGTGTGGCAGCCTCTACAATACACTGGAGGAAGTCCTCTCACACCAAGAGCAGCATGTGCCCACTGTCACAGAGGAGGAGGCACTGGCCACCCAGGACGCCGGCCTGGATCCAGAGCTAATGCCAGGCACTGAGGATGGGCCTTTCCAGTGCGGTGAGTGCAGCCAGCTCATCCTTTCCCCCAGCGAGCTCCTGGCCCACCAGGATGCCCACCTCCGGGAATCTGCAAGCCAGATCCAGTACCAGTGTGGGGACTGTCAGGAGCTCTTCCCCTCGCCTGAGCTGTGGGTGGCTCATCGCAAGGCCCAGCACCTTTCTGCTGCAGCAGCCGAACCACCAGTGCCACTGCCTCTGCCTCCCCCAACACCGCCACCCCCACCTGCCTCTCCACTGGAAGTCAGGATGGAGCCCTATGAGTGTCCTGAGTGCTCTACCCTCTGTGCCACCCCTGAGGAGTTCTTGGAGCATCAAGGCACCCACTTTGACTCCCTAGAGAAGGAAGAGTGCAATGGGCTAGAGGAGGAAGAAGAAGATGAAGAGGATGATGAAGATGATGAAGAGACAGAGGACGAGGAGGCAGTGGCAGAGGGTGGTAGTGATGCTATGGGAGGCAACAAGTCCACAGCCAGCCGGGCCCAGAGCTGTGGGGATTGTCCTCAACACTGGACCTCAGCAGGGGCACGCCGGCGACACCGGCGCGCATCCCGGGGCCCAGCATCAGCAGCCCATCCCTTTCACTGCAGCCAGTGCCAGCGCAGCTTCAGCTCAGCAAACCGGCTGCTGGCTCACGGGCGGGCCCATGTTGGTGGCACACACGAGTGTACAACCTGCTCCAAGGTCTTCAAGAAAGCAGCCTCACTGGAGCAGCACCTGCGGCTGCACCGCGGTGAAGCCCGCTACCTTTGCGTGGACTGTGGCCGTGGCTTCAGCACAGAACTCACGTTGGTGGCCCACCGGCGGGCCCACACTGCCAACCCATTGCATCGCTGCCGCTGCGGCAAGACCTTCAGCAACATGACCAAGTTCCTCTACCACCGGCGCACCCATGCCGGCAAGAGCGGGGCGCCCCCCACGGCGACAGCCTCCCCAACTCCAGCAGAGCCCGCACCCCCACCGCCACCCCCTCCCCCACCAGCCCAGCTGCCCTGCCCACAGTGCGCCAAGTCCTTTGCCTCAGCCTCCCGGCTTTCCCGGCACCGGCGCGCAGTCCATGGGCCCCCCGAACGGCGGCACCGCTGTGGTGTTTGTGGCAAGGGCTTCAAGAAGCTGGTCCACGTGCGCAACCACCTGCGGACACACACCGGCGAGAGGCCCTTCCAGTGCCACTCGTGTGGCAAGACCTTTGCTTCTCTGGCCAATCTCAGCCGCCACCAGCTGACCCACACAGGCGTGCGTCCCTACCAATGCCTGGACTGTGGCAAGCGCTTCACACAGAGCTCCAACCTACAGCAGCACCGGAGGCTGCACCTGCGGCCAGTCGCCTTCGCCCGCGCACCCCGCCTCCCCATCACTGGTCTCTACAATAAGAGCCCCTACTACTGCGGGACCTGCGGCCGCTGGTTCCGTGCCATGGCGGGCCTGCGGCTGCATCAGCGGGTCCATGCCCGAGCACGAATGATGACACTGCAGCCACCCAGATCACCGCCTCCCGCCCCACCCCCACCCCCCGAGCCTCAGCAGACTATCATGTGCACGGAGCTCGGGGAGACCATCGCCATCATTGAGACGTCCCAGCCACTGGCACTTGAGGACACGCTGCAGCTGTGCCAGGCGGCACTGGGAGCCAGTGAAGCGAGCGGGCTGTTGCAGTTGGACACGACCTTCGTGTGACCCAGCTGAAGAGCAACAATAAAAAAGTTTGGTTGCAACAGCAAGTATGGGCACCTCTGGGGAAAAAGGGGACCACTCCATGGCAAGCCTCTCCAGTGCCCGCCAGGTGCCAGGATCCACCCTGACCTCTTACCCACTGACTCCTCAGAACAGCCCCGCCAGGTTTCTCTTGTCACCTTCCTCTGCCTGAGGGAAAACTGAAGGTCTGAGATGCAATATGATCTATCCCAGGTTACCCTGCTGCATTGCAAAGTAGGGTTTGCCAAGGCTCTTTGCTCTCATCATTTTCATGCCCAGCAACATCAGGTAACCTTTCCTGAGCCCCAACTGTGTGCCAGGTCTGTGCTGGGCACTGTCACATACCTCTTCAGGTCTTTGCTTGTCCCTTGGCCCTAGCCTTCCCTGGACTCTGGGCACCCAGGACTTGGCTCCGCCTGGTGGAAGAAGGCACTTGACCTCTCTGGGCTTCCGTAATCTCACTTTTGACAATGTGGAAGGAAAACTACAGGTACCCAGGTGCTCAGCTGCAGACTGGGTGATGCTGGAGACCCAGGAACGAGTCAAACACGGGCTCTGCCCCAGGAAGCACACAGTGGGGTAGGACAAACCCAAGTACAGATGGCCTTGCTCTCTATTGTGTCTCATTGATTCATTCAGCCTGGGTGTCCTAAGGCCTACCTCCTGTGTGCTGAGTGATGCTGGGGGCCAGAGATATCAGGCCTCTGCTCCTGGGGAGACAGACAGATCTCAGCCCCAGATCCTCAGGGCTACAGTGGGGATGTGCAGGGCCAGTGGGATCCTGGAGCAGGCAACAGGCCTCCATGGTGGGAGATGAGGAGTCAGAGACTTCCTAGAGGAGATAGTCCTTGAAGAAAAGGTAGGAATCTGCTAGTGGAAGAGGAAGAGAACATTTCAGGCAGACAGCACTGCAAGGAGGGTGGGTTCTTGGTATACTTGGAGACTGTCCAGTTATTCACAGCTACAGTGAAGCTGACATTTGACTGCCTAGCGGTGGCAGGCACCACAGTTAGCACTAGACATGTATTATGATCCCAGCGGGTCTATGAGGTGACCTCAGTATCATCCCTGTTGTAAAGATGAGAAAACAGGATCAGAGACTGGCCCGGGGTCTCACAGCTAGGCAGTGGCCTTGCTGAGATTTGAATCCAAGCTTCAGCCACGTCTGTAACCAGTGCTGTTCAGTGATTGTTCCCTGAAACCCATGCAGGGGCCAGGGGCTCAGAGGAGGATTCATTGTAACTGGAGGAAGTGAGCTGGTGTAACAGAACAGTTGGGGTTTGATGGGGCCACAAAAGATCAAAGGCCTTGGTGACAGGAAGGGATCCTCAACCTTTCCAAAGATTACCTGGGGTGACAATCCTTCCCTCTAAATGGAAGCAGGTGATTTATGACAGGTCAGAGGGGGAGGCTCCTCCCAGGCCTCTGCAGACTAAGGTGCTTAATGCAGGTGAGGCAAAACAAGGCTGGGCAGAGGAGGGGCCATGAGGCAGGGAAGGAGGGAGGCCTAGACCTGGGAAGGCCTTGAAAGCCAGGTTAAGAATTTGGGGTGTGTGGGAGAGGGGGGATGGGAGAGTCATAAGTTGGGGTTAGGGCTCCCTGGTGTCATGGTTGGGTAAGGGGGAGGCTGAAGATGGTCCAGGAGGGAGAAGATGGGGCCAGAACTAGGCAGAGGCCATGGCGGTGGGAGGAGGGGGAGGGCCACCTTCTGATCTCATGGCCGACTAGACATGAACAGCAGGAAGAGGGTCCCCACAAGCCCAAGGTCTGCCCCTTGCCCAGACCAGCCCTTCCCCGCTCATCTGGTCTGCTTGCTCTATGTATTCATCTTATGAACGATGTGCTGCCCTCATGGTGTTGAGCAGGGAGGGCTGGGGTTTCTTCTGGGCTGTATACAGATGCCCCTGGGGCTGGCCTCAGCAGACTGAAGAGCCCAGGTGCCACAGGAACAGTCCCTGAACTCCCTCTGGGACATGTTCAAAACTCCTCTCCCTTTTTCTTAACAAGTGGAATCCAGCAGAAGACATGTCAGTTGCTCCTTCCCAGGCCCCCTTCCATTTTTGGGGCCTCCTGCTCTCACGTACCATTGGCATCATGTGGAAGAGATGCCATTTCCCTTTGAACATGGCCCTACCATGTTTTCAAAGCAAGGAGAAAAGCCAGGCCAACCTTACCAGGGTTGTCGCTTCCCAGCATCCCTAAGAAGTGGGCCAGGTAGGTGCCCTGTTTAAAGCAGAAATGAAGGCAGGGGCCGACCCCGTGGCCAAGTGATTAAGTTCGCGTGCTCCGCTTCAGCAGCCCAGGGTTTTGCAGGTTCAGATCCTAGGTACTGAGCTAGCACCGCTCATCAAGCCATGCTGAGGCGGCATCCTACATAGAACTAGAAGGACCCACAACTAGAATATACAACTACATACTGGGGGCTTCAGGGAGAAGGGGGGAAAAAAGGAAGATTGGCAACAGGTGTTAGCTCAGGGCCAATCTAAAAAAAAAAAAAGAAATGAAGGCATGGGGATCTACTAGGGTTCACAGATGGCTCCTCTGCCTCCTTCCCTGCCACTAAGGCTGTTTTGGCCTGAGTGACCCCACATCATCCTGTGTCCCCTTGAAGCAGTAGGTAGCTCAGGCTATGAGACAGAGAGCCCTTTGTTCAAGTCTTCACTCTGCCATTTGCTCTGTGGCCTTGACCTCTCTGGTCCCCAGTTCTCTCACTTATCACCTGGGGATGACAGTGCCTCCCTCTCTAGGCAGGAGGAGATGATCTGTGCTGGGTCTGGGGACAAGCTCCACCCGGGCCTCTGCAGTAGCTACACTGCACGTGCAGAGGAGAGCTGAGGCGCAGGAAGGTTGGGCACCTGAGCCAGGGCTGGGACTCAGGTCTCTGACAGCCTAGCTTGGGTTCACTCTACCCTGTTACCTTGCCTGAGATGCAACCCACTCCTATCCCAGGACAGGCCCCCAGGCACCTCCCTCACCTCTGGAAACAGGTAGCCAGACAGGAAGCAGGTTTTCATGCCAATAATTTATTGAACGGAGGTCTGTACACAGGCAAACCTTACTGTGGAAACTAAGACATCAGGAGCTCCCCCACTCCCCCAGCCCTCCAGGGTGGGGAGAGGAGGGAGGAGACCTTAGGGGCAGAGGACAGGAGAGGGGACACTGCTGTAGGAGGGGGAGGGGCCAGGTTGGACGGTGCGAATCGACGTTTTCTTTAAGAAAAAAATTATAACAATCTATTTACACCCGGGGGCCAGGAAAGGGAAGAGGAGATGGGCTGGTCTGGTTCTATTTACAAGGGACACAGGAGGGGAGGGAGGTTGGAGGAGGTGGAGGCCTGGGGGGAGTGGAGGGGGCCAACAGGCTAGGAGGTCCCTATGCCCCCAACCCCTGTCCTTCCTTCTTTTCCCTCCCCACAACCAGTTAAAATCCTCTTAAAAAGCCCACCACAGGGGTGAGGCTAGTGAGGGAGGGACTGGAGGTGGGGACAGGGACTCATTTACCTCTGCCCTCTAGTCTCGGGGCCGGCCAGGGCAGGAGCTTGATAGGCTATGGCCCCCCTTCCCAGCCTCACTTGGGGCTCCCAGATGGAAGGGTAGTTGGCGGGGCCCTCAGGAAGAGTTAGTGAGGGGAGCTGTGGCTTCGGTCGACGGCCAGTCGGAGGTGGTCTGAGCCTCATTTAAAGCTGAGGGCGGAGGATGGAGCAAACTATTAGCTTTTGCCTTTTAGACCCGCCCACCCCCAAGAACAGGAAGTCAGTATGAGATGCTACATTAGAAATCGAAAGCTGTCACTTTAGGTCCCGGGGTTGCAGACTCAAATGCCAAAGGACCAAGTTGGGCACTGAGTGACTCACACCAGGGAGCCAGGCCCCACAGAAAAGGTGCAGCCGGAACCCGCTGCAGCTGACAAGACTGCCCTGAGGAAGGGCAGCCCCACTGCTGCCCAGTCTGATTTTCTTCCCCAAGAGAAACAGGAAATCTTGATTTGTACATGAGATGGCCCCAGTTTTTAAATGTGGACAACAACTTCTTGTTTTGTTTGTGCAAACCAAACATATATGTCTTTGGTTTTCCAGTTAGCATTTAAACACAAATATAGGCAATAATGCCCTACAAAGGAGGCCATTCGCATGTTGTAAATATGCTTTCTATACTATCAAAAGATCAACAATTTTGGGGCCGGCCTGGTGGTGCAGTGGTTAAGTGCGCACATTCCGCTTCAGCGGCTCGTGGTTCGCTGGTTCGGATCCTGGGTGTGGACATGGCACTGCTTGGCAAGCCATGCTGTGGTAGGCGTCCCACATATAAAGTAGAGGAAGATGGGCAAGGATGTTAGCTCAGGGCCAGTCTTCCTCAGCAAAAAGAGGAGGATTGGCAGCAGTTAGCTCAGGGCTAATCTTCCTCAAAAAAAAAAAGATCAACAATTTTGAAATACCTGCGGGAAACTCAGGGGCTGTGAGAACAGGCCCACCCCCTAGGCTGAGACATGCTGCTTTGACCTGCAGCAAATGGCCCTCAACTTACCTTGTGAGGATGGAGTGAGTGTGGCAGTGCCCGCCGGGGACCTCAAGTGAGGAGGGATGAGAATGGCGTTGAGAGATGGCTGGATGGAGAGTTCTAGAAACAGGAATGGACATGCCCAATCAGGGGGCAGGGCATCTGGAGACCCAGTTGGCGTTAGAAAGGGGCACCAAATGGGGACCCAGCTCTTGGCAAGGCCAGTTGTTTGTAGACACATGTAGCCAGTGAATGCTTTAAATGAAAAACTAGAAAGAGCCTTGCACAGGAGATTGCAGAGTGTGTGAATCAGGTTTGGGTCTCCCTGAATTAGGGGGCATCTCCTGAGTCCCAGGCCTTCCTTGTAACCCACCCTCAGTTCCCCACTCCTGTCTTCAACACCAAGGTCTTCTCCACAACCTTTGGCTGCCCCTCCAGCTCCCCAGATCCCAGGCTGTGCCCTCACCGCCAGGACTGAAATTGAAGAGGGGGGGTAGCGGGCGGTTGTTGGGGAGCTGGGTTCCGGGACATCGCAGTTCATCAAAGAAGCTGTGGGCACAGGCTTCCAGCGGGGAGAGCCTCGAGGACGGTGTGTACTCCAGCAGGCTAGAGCAGAGCGCGATGGCCTCAGGCGGCGTTCGAGATTTAAACACCTGGGGGGAAGCGGGGGCACAGGGTCATGAGGGCAAGATGCCCCAGGCACTGGCGTACTCCTGCACCTCACTGCCGCAGTGCCCACAGCAAATACGACTGCCAGCTTCCCATGAACCCACCTTCCAAATGAGGAAACTGAGGTACCACCTCGAAGGGGGGTCAGTCTCTATCAGGTGAGCAGCCCACCCAGGTCATCACTTAGCCCTGCTGTGAGCCTGTTTCCCCACCATAAAAATGGGACTTTTAAATTTACTGTGGATCCTGAACTTTTAGAGTATAAGAAATTCCACAAACTTTGAAATCTGATGAAAGTTACTGACCCGCTCCCAAGCCATGACTCTGTAGCCAGGTCCCCAGACCAGCTGGCCTCCAGTGAGGACCTCAGCCATGCTGCCTGAGCCCCCAGCCCTGCCCCACCTTTGTCCAGGGGTGAGCTTTAATCTGAGGGAACTTGAACTCCGTGTAG